GGGGAAGAAGTCAGTGCCAGTGAGGATAATGTCACATTGCGCCAGGGGAAGAAGCCAGCGCAGGCGATGCCACATCACTTTCTGGAGATAATTTAAATGGCAGCCTCAGGTCAAATGCAGCGCGAGCCTACGTGTCTCACACGGTGTAGGGCTGGACACCTGCACCTCCGCAGGGAAGCAGGTAAGTGCCGTACCTGGTGACAAGAAACACGCCAGCAAGTGCCAGGGGGGCTGTCAGCCTGGAGGAGAGCCGTGCCCAGACAGGCCAAACCGGAGCCCTCCACTCAGGCTCTGACGAGGGCCCGTGACTGCAGACAAAGCAGAGCACCAGGGCAGCGTCACATTCAGCACAGAGCCTCAGCCCACAGCTTCTCCCACAGTCCAGCGCGTGGCAGGAACTCACCACAACCCACTTTCTTAACTGCTTATTAAACCAGGCACTAATAACAGACACAACAAGCCTAGGGCTTCATTTCCCAGGTTTGTGTTTTAGTCATGTGACACACGCTTAAACCTCCCAGAGACAGATCTGTTTTCCTCAGCAGGACTTCCAGACAGGTCTCCTTTTCAAAGGAATGGATCTCTACTGTTCCGCGTGTGGGACACAAGAACCCCCAGTGCAATGTTTCAAATCATTATAGTTAATAACAATAATAAAGCCAGCATGTACACAGACAATGAATGCTTTTCACTAAATTGGGACCTAGTGAAGACTCAATGGCTGTAAATTACCACTTGGAGGGAGGCAGGCAGCTGGAAAATAAACACAGACTACAAGGAGCCTGAAATAAGCATGAGCATCCCAAACAACTCAATGCACTGCACAGACAAACCAGAGCGAGGCCCACCCCATTCAAACACGCCTCGAGGACATGATGGCTTAGCCCACCTGAACACCAACACTCCAACACCCCAGTGCAATAACAGCGGGGGCTCCAGGGCCTGGCCACATTCTGCAGTGTTTGTGCGTGCTCTGCTTTGTGCTTGGTGTTTTGCCCCAGCTGCATTACCTCCCTGTCAAGGCAGCACGTTTTAAATTTCGCAAAACGCACCGAGAAACTGACATGACAGCTCAAAAGGCTGCACAATAAAGTGCAGGCCACAAGCGATAAGATTCTAGCCTTGGAACACGCTCCTCAGACAGGCCTCTTGCGTGACCCGAGACGGTTTTCTCTCCATCGCATCAAGGGATTAAACCACAGTGCCCGTCACAGAGGGAGCGGCAGTTGTTTCAAGCAAATAAAAAGGGATGTGAGCAATCGCACAAGAAAATGTCTGCCTCCGAAAGGACTGGATTTTGCCAGCGTGAAACCACACGA